AAGTTAGCACAAGCAATAAAGGGTTGAGGGTCTGTGTTGATCTCCTCGGTCTCTCCATTGTATAAGGCCATCATTATTTTCTGATGTAGAGAGGAAGGCACACATTTGTTGGTGTGGATCCAATCCCTACCAAGTAAAGCATTATACTTGACATTACTATCTATAACAAAGAATGTTGTCATGCAATCTCTGGTTCCCACACTCAAGTTGATGAACAAGATGCCCTGAGTAATCTGCTTATCCCCAGCAAAACCAGCAATGGTTGTGCTGGTTAGGATTAATCTAGGGTTCCTTTTTCTCAATTTCTTTAAAGAGGACTTCGGAAGCAGGTTCACTACTGCCCCATTATCCACTAACAAATATCCCATCGAAATAGGCCTTGATATACATGGGCTTAACGTGCTACGTCATAAATGTTATAGAATACTCAAAGGGATACGAGAGATTAATATTCACCTCCTCACTTTCATCCTTAGTTTCCATTAGTGTATCATGCTAACTTGTGAATCTTTACTAAAAAATGGAATAGGGTCATCTTCCTAACCTTCTTTGTTTCCATCTTCAGCCTAGAACTCCTGTGGCAATATATATACCATGTTTACTGACGCTGGAGGAAATGAGCCAAACTGAACTGCTGGCTGCACTTGTTTCTTTTCCAAACTAACTTATTCAGTTATTTCGAAAGCATCTTCCATGCTATACTCTAGTACCTCAGTACTAGTGACTTCCTTCGAATCAACTCGTTTGTGGTCTGCTCCTGTTGGCTTTTCGACCAAAAAGGTCTGTTCAGCCATAAAGGCTTCAAACATCTCATCTTTAGCCATTTCTTTCCTTTGGCCTAATTCAACTTCTCCTTTTGTCTCACTGTCGCTTTCCATCAAGGCTTTTTCAAGACCTACTAAGCTGGATCTTTCCTTGGCTTTTAGTTTAGTGTGAACCCTACCCAACTACTCTCTGCTGACACTTCTTTTGTTGTGAGGAGCCAATTTTGGACTTTCTTTTTCCTCTGTCTGGCCTTTTGACTAGGCCAATGAAGAACTCTCTCCACTTTCCTTCAGATCCTTTTGATACTGGGTGTACCTTTGCTGAATCTTCCTCCTTTGAGACCTAGAAATTACTGGAACCATATCTGATTCCTTTGTTTTTGGGTGCTTGAGTAATACCCAATTATTTGAAGCCACCAAGGAAGGTTTAATCATCCTACCCTTGTCTCCAAAGACATTTCTCTATGCAGGTATTTCCTTAGGCTTATTCTGCATGACAAACCAGTCTGCACCCCAGGTACCCATGAATTCACTATTTCAGTTGCTGAACTTGCTTTCCCACTCTTTGAAGCCACCTTCGAAGCTAACTGTCGAGGCCAATCACTGGCTTTAGCACCCTGTCTCGAGCCTAATTTAGGCCTTCTTTCAGGGTAATTACCTTGCATCTTGTTTGAAGTTGACTTTGGAGGCCAATTACTGGCTTTGATTCCCTGACTTGAGCCCAATTCAAGCCTTCTCTCAGGATAATTACCTTCCATCCTGTAGTAATTGGGTGGTCTGAACTCATGCAAAGCTCTCTTACCCTTGGATTGCATTCTAGTGGCTGGTGGTCCGGCCAAGAACGGCTATTGTCTGGGACTAGTTGGGTATGGCCTCTTGTTGTAGGTATTGGTTGGCTTAGGGTGTTTCTGTACATCCTTGTAATATTGTTTCCTATCGATTGGGAGCCCTTTTAGCCATTTGTAACTTAACCTGCATCTGGGATACATCCGTTGCATGACAGCTGCCTCAAGAGAGTTATCATTCAGTGGTTCCTCACTAAAGTCATCTTTTTGTTCCACAAAGCTCTGTCCATTTGCTAGTGAACTTCTGGTATCCTTCTTGAAAGCAATCTGGCTGGCAATATGCATCTGCACATTAACCTCCTCCAATTCCTTCAAGGATAGGTTTTTGAAATTTGGCACGCCAACATTGGATGTAACTTCCCCAATCTTTGGGAACAGGTTGGTGTCAATCCACATAGCTTTCTTTACTTTGGCCGGAAACTTTAAACTCCCCTTTGGAATCTGTTCTTGGATCCTGTCCTGAGAAACAATATAGTTTTTAGTTGAATGAGACCAAGAGTTATGCTATTTATAGTATATTTTCCCTTAAGTTCTTCTGGGGTAGGGATCTTAACTCCTTTTGGTAACTTTAGGAAATTTTCTGCAAGCAAATGATCAAAAATGTCATCGGCTTTTGTTAAATCAAAAAAATACTTTCTATGAAGGTCTTTTCTTTTTAAACTACTAGTCTATTGTGGTGTCCTTCTAAATTAACGCCTTACAGGTCATAGGTTCTTTCCTTACGATTTCAGCTGCATCAATTTCATAATTAGGGTCGTTATAATAAGTCTTATATGATGTATTACTTCAATCTTGTTCTTCCTCAAGTAAAGATTCATATCTAGACACCTTCTAGGTTAATTTCACTAAGTCTCGAAACTCAGTTGAATCGAACTTCTTTCAAAGCCTAAACTCTAAACCATTTTAAGTCAATCTCACAAATTCAGGCTCTGGTAAAATAACCCTACACTTGTTTCGTGCCCTTTTAAATCTGGCAATAAATTGAGCAGCTTTCTCATCGGGCCTTTGGCTTAACCTTGCCAAATCTGCCATGGAAACTTCAGGCTCTGTTTGAAAGAATTGGACATGAAATGCTTCCTCCATACAAAGGCTGCCCCAGTTAAAGAATTTGGAAAGAGTCTCAACTTCATATAATCATTATTGGTAAATTCACCACATTGGCCTACGAACCTAGCAATATGTTTTACTGTTGACTGGTTTCCATTTCTATAAAAGAGAGCAAAATTTGGTATTTTAAACCCCCTTGGGTATTCATGCACCCTATCTACCCATTCTGGGTATTGCCTTCTATACACAGGAGTCTGAACCCTCTGAGCCATAGGTCCACACATTTCCCTAACAATATCGGCAATTTGGTCCCTAGAAACCATATTTTGTGCTTGTTGGACTACTAGTGGAGGAACAAACACAGGGTTTGGTGGAATCCCATGTGCTTAAGATCCTCTTGGTCCATAGGGAGTTATATTCAGGATTGGCTGTCCCTGTGGTACTAGTTGCTGTTGGGGGGTATGGTTGACCCCTCTGGGCCTGTCCTGCAAAAAGACCTGCGAAAGGTGCTATGAGAGGAGGAACAGGTGTTGTTTCTCTCCCAGCCGCAGGAAACCCTTCCAACCCCCAAGGTATAAATTCGAACAGAGGGTTAGTGAACCCCTTTGTGCCAGGCATGGTTTTTAACATAGGATTTGGAAACATTCTCATGCAATTTCCTTGTGTTGGCCTAGATCCACCAATTTGTATGGTTTCGCTGTTAGATAATGAGATATTTTGATTCACCAAAGGCCTCGAAAAAGGCTCATACCATGATTGAGGTACAAGTAATGGTCTTTCATAATTTTGATTACTAGTCTGACCATTAGTATGCCTATTAATTTGCATAGGTTGCTTATCTCTAGCCAATCTTTGTTGAAGAACACTTGAATTTTCCTCCATATGCCTTGTGACAGTTGGTTTATGGGAATTTATTCGATCTATGAAGAATGTTGTCCACTTTCCATTGTATACATTAATTGCTATCCCATGGCATCTACCAAGCCTCCCCATTGATTCATTGGCTGGGTAGACGAAACAGTAGATGGTCCAATCCCATGGTCTTGCCCAATATTTTGAACATATGGTGTATGCTCCGAGGTACTGGTCTGTTCGACCATAGGTTTTGATGAGATAAGTGCTTCCATAAGATGTGTGATTACATTATCCTCTAGATCAGGTACTTCTACCTCTCCCTTCACACTTTTTTCCAAGCGTTCATTTTCTCCGTGTCTCCTACATCTAGCCATTTTAGAGTCCCACTAGGCATGCCAAAAATGTATGTTAGCTTTTTTGGCTTTCGAAGGTTAATAATGTAAATTTAAGCGTGCTAGCAAAGATGAATTAGTCCTTACAAAATTTATAATTGCCAACCAATTATTAAGTTATTGTGTTGTAGTTCTTTAGCCTCAATGAAGAGGACTTTTACTGGTAGCTTGTTTAGAAGAAATTAGTAAATAATAATAAGTGAAGAACAATTTCAGAATCTGAATTTCATTAAGTAAATGAAAACTTACAATGATCTGACCCAACCTCGTAGAGGTTCACAGCAACAAACTATTTGAAACTATTCTTAAGAAACGAAGTGTAGTACAGGAATTGAAGTGCAGAAATATAAAGAACTATTAAATTGGAAGGAAAATAAACCAAATAAACTGGTTTTTTTATCTGAGTTTGGGGGCCTTCATTTTGGGGCATTCCTTACTATTTATACTTCTCAGTGGTAACCATCGAAGTGGGCTTCCAACCGTCGAAATGTTGCTGAACATGCTCTCTCACAGTCAGTCCCACTATGCCACTCTTGCAATTAGGTTTTCCTCCTAATTTTGAATTTAAACTTTATGAGTAACCGTTACGTCACATCATCTTGTATCTCTCGATTATTCTAATACTACGTAGATCCATTATTATCAATACAAACTGTCACGTGTCTGACTTTGATTGATAACTTGTATTAACTTTCCAAATTATCCTTTTCATGCCACGTGTTACATAGTGATTGACTTTTACAAATCATACAGTCAACAGAATCAACAACCAGGACAAACAACCAAAAGTACCATATAAAGATATCAAACCCAACCCAAAAAAAAAAAAAAAAAAAAAAATTGAAAAGTCAGGGAGGGCACGTGAAAAAAAGACCAACACCCCCGGCTGCAGCCCACATCCATCATCACACCTCACCAGACCAACAACAAAACAAGAAGAGAGACGGGTTGATGTGTTTTGTCTGTAAAATGAAGACAGCCTCACTGGAAGAGCTAGGGCTAAGTAAACCCCAAAAAAAAGAAAAGAAAAAAAAAATGACGTCGTTTTAACGTCAGCGCCGCATGCAAACACGGCAGACAATATGGACTCGAATAAACATACCCTTTAGGATTAGGATTCCGACCACAAACAACCGACTATTCACGTACATATACTCTTCTGACGCCAAAATCCCAGTTCTCTTTTCCAACAGAGTCCGTTTCTCTGCATCGTTGACCTCTCTGCGAATCCACAATGAGGAGGAACAGACGAGCAAGGCAAACCCTTTCTCACCCGATCGATGAAAAGTGGACACTGAGACCTTTACACGGTCAAAATCCACAAACAGTCAACGCCACCAATCCACAACCACACCTCCAAAGCCCATCATCATCGATGGCTTCTCACCAAAACCCCGAACCCACAACAAGCGCACCCATCTCCGAATTCATCCCCAAAACATCGAAATCGCCTCCAAATTTTCGAAACTCCAAGTGGGTATCGCGAAATCGGCGTGGCCGCGCGTTTAAACCTCGGTTTGGTAAAGTGGGTCGATCGAGTTCTAGCAGGGAAGAGATTTGCGTGGAAGAAGAAGGAGGAGGAGGAGGAGGAGGAGAAGAGAAGGAGGGTATAGGTGGACATGTATTGACATCAGATATCGATTTGAATGAATTGGGTTCTTCGAGTTCTTGCAAAGAAGATAAAGTATGTGACGAAGTGGAAAACAGAGATGGGCATGCGTCTGGGTCGAAGAATGAGTCGAAAGAAGGGGCAATTGAGGGGTCTGATTCAATTAAGGGCGTTGATGATATTGGAAGCAGGTTGGAAGGGTTGCAGTTGGGTGCAGAAGAACCGGAGTTGGAGGAGCAGCTGCTGAGAATTAATGACCAATTGCAGGAAGATGAGGTAATTTGATAAGCTAATGTCTTTTATTCAGTATCTGATAATGGAATTCATGTTGCCAATTATTAGAATTAGAGTTCAGTTTGCCATTTAGTTAACTTTTTTGTTTTTCAACTCAATCCTCGGGTGTCATTGTTGTATAATAGATGTTTTTGTGTGTGCTCATGCCTGAAGATAAAAAGAATGCTCTGTCAATCCAATGATTGACTTTAACCTGAAAAGTCCCCTGAATCCCCTTGTGAATCTAATAAATAGTAGTTTGTTAGTGAAGATGAAGATGTCAAACAATAGTTTATGTAGACAATAAGAGTTGCATGTATGAAACTTGGTGGTGTAGAGGATAACATTCATGCAGAAGCCAACTTGTTCGGACGAGAAAACGAATAAGATATGACATTTGACAGAGCAGGAGTGTTGTGGAAGTGGAATATGAGGAGTGTTGTTTAGTAGAACTAGACTTGCAAAATAAGTAAGGTTGTGGTGAAACTTGAACTGCAAGAGATACCTTAGAGCAGCTATTCCCATTGTTTTGGATCAGTTTGATAAGGGGAGATTAAGAACATGGGGACTTACGTGGAGGTCTTAATAGGTGGACTTATTGTCCAATCAGCTTGTAAGAATTAATGACATTTTTCATCAAATACTATTAAAAAACGTCACTAATTGTTAATTTTCAGTAACAGTTTGAAAATTCTGTTATAAAAAATGTCACTAATTATAAGTTTTAACGACAGTTTAAAAATATCGTCACAAAAAAAATCACTAATTTTCAATTTTCAGCAATAATTTGAAAATTTTGTCACAGAAAAACGTCACTAATTACAAGTTTAAGCGACAATTTATAAAAATCTTAACAAAAAAAAAAGGTCACTAATTGTCAATTTTTAGTACCATATGCAAAAAATCGTCACAAAAATTATTTTTAGCAATGATTTTATTAGGATTTATTTTCAATAGGATTTGATACGAATTAAGTCAAACTATTAGGACTTATTGGTAGTTTACCCTAAGAAACATTGCCTATACAAGTAGAGGAGGATGAATGTATTGGATAACTTGATATACATTGTTGGACAGCTGTAGCATTGAGACTAGTGGTAATCTAACATGGTATCAAAGCCAGGTTGAGGGAGGTCTTGGGTTTATATCTGTTTGGATTTGCTTCTCCAATTGCTTTATGTTTCACTCTGTGTATGTCTCTTTATATCTTCATGTGCATGACGGGATTGCACGTGAGGTTGGGTGTTGGATAGTTTAATATAAATTATTGGAGGGTCTATTTCCTAACAATTTAAGCTTTTAGTACTAGTGGTAACAAGATGAAATGGAAAAAAGATGATATAAAAATGAACTATTGTCGGGTCTTGGGTTTAAGTCTTTTTGTTTGGATCGAAGGCTTGTTCATCATTTTTGGAGCTCAACTCAACTCAACAAAGTTTTACTTCAACTATTTGGGGTTGGCTAGTGAGTCCTATCATGTCATCACACCTTTTTGTTAATGGCAATAAGTTTAGGTGTGCTATTTTTTCTTTACTTCCCCTCACTATGTGGATTAAGCCTCTCACTTTTTCTATTGATGTTTTTTTCAATCTTAGTTTTTTGACTGCAACTGGTGCTGTTTCTACCATCAAGAAAATGTGTTCATTTCTCACCAAGCTAACTACACATGAACATGTTGGTTCATAGTTGCCCAACATTCTGCCCAATAAAGCATTGTTATTCTTATAGTTATTCTTTGGCTTCACATATCCATCAATCACAAAAGCACTCCTCCATTTACCCATCCACATTTATGATATCATTGTTGTCATGAATTTTAATGCTTAGGAGCATTATGAATTTTGTTCTTGAAGCTCACGACCATATACTTGAAAAATCCAATTATGGAGATAAACTGATAACTAAAAACATTCTATAACATGGAATTTTAAACCTCTTATATTTGAGGTAGATTTCTGACTCTCTTTCTTTCTCTTCTCTAATCTCAGCTTGTGTACTGTTTTTATTTTTTGAGTGCAGTTACTTGTCATTGAGTCAATTTATGGAGACAATGTGTTCATCCTTGACAAACAGAGAGGTCTACGATGTTTTCAGGTTTGTAGTAATTTAAAATTCCATATCATGTTTATAAAGTGAATAATCCAATATTTATGTATTTTTGCAGATTCATATACACGTTGAAGCTCCCACTGAACTTACCATCTCCACAAAATTAACTTCACATAGTGAACTTGAGACCAAAACTGACAGTTCAGATGAGTTCTTATACTCTTTCAAAGTCCAACACCTTCCACCAATTAAGTTGAAATGCTTATTACCTAAGTCATACCCGAGCCATCTCCCTCCTTATTTTACCATTTCAGTACAGTGGCTGGATTCTGGGAAAATTTCCAATCTTTGCTCCATGCTGGATTCATTTTGGAAAGAACAACCAGGTCAGGAGGTTATATACCGTTGGGTGGAATGGCTACACAGTTCTTGTCTTTCTCATTTTGGTTTTGATAAAGAAATAGTTCTTGGTCCTTATGGCTTGAGATATACTGGAGATAAGCGTGCAATTTCAGGAAGCATCTCCCCAGATGTTGATATTCCTTCACTGAAGAGTTACAACGATGAGCAGTGCCATGAGACCTTCTGCAGAAACTTTCATGAATGCTGCATCTGTTTTAGTGAATTTTCAGGTATTTTTTGAACATTTTTCTTGACAGTTTACGAATTTTATTTTATTTTTAATTGTGGCAAAAAGACATTCTTAGCAGACTATTTAATGTACAAAACTTTAGGATATGTGGGTTAGCATTGATTGATATAAATATTCAGGTGGTATTGGTGACATTGGGCTTGTGGGCCCTGGGATGAAAAGTGTAATTGACCCTAGAATTTAATAAAATAATTCCTTTTGTTTATTTTCATGATGGAAGCATTAAGTGTACTGCTCAATAGACCTTTAAAGAACTGTTAGAATTGAGTTGTTTTAATACTTCTTTCAATTATCACTTTAATTGCCTTCTCTTTTCTTTTTCTTCCTACCAGGTTCAGAGTTTGTTAGATTGCCATGCCAGCATTTCTTTTGCTGTAAATGCATGAAAACTTACTCTGACATGCATGTAACAGAAGGAACAATAAGCAAGCTTCTATGCCCTAATGCAAAATGTGGGGGCATGGTCCCACCCGGTTTGCTGAAACGATTGCTTGGTGATGAGGAGTTTGAACGTTGGGAATCACTAATGCTACAGAAAACGCTCGAGTCTATGTCTGATGTAGCCTATTGCCCAAGATGTGAAACGGCTTGCATAGAGGATGAAGACAATCATGGGCAGTGCTCAAAGTGTTTCTTTAGCTTTTGTACCCTTTGCAGGGAGCGACGCCATGTTGGAATCGCATGTATGACACCAGAAATGAAGCTCCTTATCTTGCAAGTAATTCTTTTGTCTCTGGTCTATTCTGAATATACATTTTCTAGTAATTGCCAGGCAGCCATACAGCAATGAATTAGTCCCAGGCTCATTTTAGCAAAAGCAGTATAGTAGTGTTATACCTTAGCCACTTTTGCATGAAATGGCCATCGTACTCATTTGTATAGGACCATTGCATGCTGTGATGCAAACAGAAAGGCAGGGAAGCAGAAACCTTTACCCAATAACCTCTTTATTTGATATTTTATCAAAAAAATAAAAAATAAAAAATTCTTCTTTATTAGATGTGATGAGCTCGATGCCCTTACAGGCCTGTGAAAGGCTTAGCTAGTATGCCCAGTAGCTAGCTGATGGATTGCGCTCATTACTTGTTACTTTTTGATGGAGGCTGTTGGGCATTTCTCTGTATTCAATAACTTCAGTTTGGTTTTCGACACCATAACTGTTTTTTAAGTGCTTACTGCTTACCCACCCACCACCTATCATGGACCTGTGGTTTGCTACTTTGGCAAACCTGGTATTAGAATAGAGATTCTGCATAATGAAGTTGAGATGGTAGTAGAAAGGATATATACCTTTGTACCCCACAATATTCTTTGAGATATCATATTCTCAGAGATGGTATTAATGTTTCATTCTGCTTTTGTGCATGCTGATGCTTTCATCCTTACTCAAATATGCAGTGGAAGTAGGGTTGCAAAACGAACCAAGCTACTCGAGCTCAACTCGTGTTAGGCTCATTAAAAACTCGTTCGAGATTGGCTCATCATGCAATCAAACTAAGCTTGAACACATTTTAAAGTCATTAAGTTTTCAAGTCAAGCTTAAACAAACTACTACTCTGCTCGATAAGCATATACACACCATAATAAGGCAAACTATTCGAGGTCAGCTTTTGTTCAGCTTATTAAAAGCCCGTTCGAGATTGGCTCGTTATGTAAACTTGAAGCTCGTTTAGTTTTCAAACCAAGCTCGAGCAACCTATTACTCTGCTCAACTTAGCTTGTTTGCAGCCCTAGGTTGAAAGGACTCTCTATTTGCTTTAATGCCTATGATATTAATCGTTGTTACTTTGGTTACAATTGCTTGCTTTAATATATCATTATGTGCAATCTGAATAGCACTTTGATTGTCACAATAGAGGTAGCGGCAACAGGATGGGGAATTTCCATAGAAGTAAGAAGCCACTGAAGCCACACAAGCTCGTGAGTAGTATTCGCAAGAGCATGATACTCAGACTCAGTACTAGAACGAGCAACAGGAGTTTGCTTCTTGCTACGCTAGGCAATGAGAGAATCACCCAAGAAGAAGTAGAACCCTGTAGTAGAGTAGCGGTTAGTAGGATCCCCTGCCCAATTTGCATCAGAAAATGCATGTAACTATAGAGAAGAGCGTGCTGAGTAGTGAAGACTATGGAACATAGTGCCTTTTAGATAGCGCGAAATGCGAACTAGAGCATCATATTGCAGAGAGCGAGGAGCAGCCATAAACTGTTTGACAATGTGAACAGCATAGGCAATGTCTGGACGAGTAACCGTGAGATAGACAAGACTGCCAACTAGCTGACGATATAAAGTAGCATCAGATAATAGGTAACCATCAAGAGGTGTGTGACAAGTTTGAGGATCAACTGGAGTAGTAGCAGTCTTGCAATCGATAAGACCAGCACAAGTCAAGAGATCAAAGATATACTTGGCCTGAGTAAGAAAGTAACCAGAAGGATCATGAGAAATTTCCAAGCCGAGAAAGTAGCTAAGCAAATCCAAATCTTTCATCTCAAATTGGTGACTGAGGAATTGTTTGAGACTAGAGATACCCACTACGTCATCTCCAGTGATGATCATATCATCCATATAAAGAAGAAGAATAATAATACCACACTCTGTCTGACGTATAACAAAGCAAAATCATAGGCACTGGAGAAGAAGCCACATGTTAATATGAGCTATAAAATTTTCTTTACTCATGCTCTTTCCATGTAATGACCCTCATCCTTGTCTTAGCCATGTTCATGTGTATCTGCATGATTTTGTTTTGTTAAGCTTGCATTTGTAGATTTTGACTTGTTTTGTCTAAAGTAAAGGTCCCTGTCTTGTTTTGTACTTATGTGATTTGCTTGAGTATTGCTTGTATGCTTTGTTCTTTGCTTGGTGTGTGTAGCCTAGGTCACACCCTTGAACCTCTTACACCTAGGACCATCTTGAAACCACTTTGGTTGACCTCCACCTTCACCCTGTCATATTAGCCGAGATGTCATCATCTAGGCCGAGGTGTGCATCACCTAAGCCGAGATGTGTATCATCTAGGCCGAGATGTTATCGTCTAGGCATCCAACATCCTTGATCCTTGCACCTAGTGATCTTGTTCCTGGACTGGTATGACCTAGACCGAGGTGTGACACATCTAGGCCGAGGTGTGGCACAAGTAGGCCAAGTGTTATCCTTCCTAGCCGAGATCATCGAAACCTTCTTGCCTGAAGCCTATGTCTTGATCCGAGATCATTGCCTTATCAGAGTGCCCTTGTCACCTTACTTGTTGTACACCCTTTGTCATGCTCTTGTCTTGTCATTCAGTCACCTTTTGAGGAAACCCAACCAGACATTGCCACGTGTCCCAGCAGAGGGTCAAGTCAGTAAGCTATTGAGAAAACATATCATTTGCTATATATCTTTGCCCTAGAAAAGAGAGAAGCTCTAGGAAGAGAAAGGAGTTCTTGAGAGAGAAGTAGATTCACAAGCTTGATCCTTACAGTTTGAACCGTTTGATCCGTGTTTTGAGGTTAAAATATTGATCTTCTTTGGTTGTTCTTTGTATATATATGATCACATTGCATGATCTAGTATGATTCATGAGCCATGCATTGATTTAAAGTTGTTCTAGAAAGAAAAAGTGATGTTCATGTGTTCTTGAAGAAAAGCTTTGTTTTGATCCGAAAGTTTATAACAAGTTCCATGTTTTGTGTTTGTTTTCAAGAAGATCTTCAACTACGGGTACCCAAGTCCATGTTTTTGAACTCATCTCATGAAATCTCAGATTTTGAATAAGGAAGTTATGATTTTGGCATTCATGTTCTTCATGTTCATGTTCTTCATGTTCTTCAAGAGGAAACCCAGAATTTCCAGACTTCACTTCCCTAAGTGTAGTCACCGAGACTCACTCTTGCCTAGATCTCACACCTAAGCCAAGCATCGTATCTCACCTTGGCCTACCTTGCATGATCACCTGCACTTTAGTCTACCTTGCATGCGCACCTAGGCCTAGGAGACCATACCTCGGCCAAGAGGTGTGGAACCTCGGCCAGGACCTGGTTGGTACCCAGTATATTTTCCCGAGATGAAAAATAGTGTTTTAACTCCTCAGCACATGTTTTGCTTTATCTTGACTTAGTTTTGAAAGAAATGTCGAGATCATCTACACTCATGCAAAGTTTGTTTTAGGAATGCATTGCACAACCATCTTTGAGCATCTCATCTTGTCTTCTTGAAATGCGTTCAGTGGACCTTGCAATGTATTTGTAGGTCTTGGACTCTTGCCTTAATCCCTACACCCGAAGAGATATGTGAGTGGTATTTTTAATAAAGTTATATTCTAATGTTTTGATAAAGGCTTTGCTTGTTTCGTTTTGGAGAAGTGTTTGTTCAAGTGTGAATGATTATTCCTAGTTTTGTATCAAGTATTATCTTGTTTTGATGACATTCTTGGAAAGTTCTTAGTGCTAAGGGACTATAATGCAACTAGTACCCTTGTTTGAGATATCTCCCTTGCCACTGACGGTCTTGTACGGGTGGGTTTGTCTAATCGATTCCGGGTCGATTATTCCCTTGTTTTGTCAGGAATGTCATCCTTTGTATTATATTGATGCCAGTAAGCATCCCTTGAAGCTTTGAAAGACTTGATAGATGAACTTGGTTCATCCCTTGATTTTGTACAAGATATGTTATGTATTGTTTTGATAAAGATCTTGAATATCATTCATTCAAACCTTTATTACTAATATCATTCACTGAGTATCCAAGCTCACCCTCCTCTTTATATATATGTAGGTGACGAGCAAAAAGGCGGTGATGCCTAAATGTTATTTGCAAGTTGTTTTGGATTCATGTTTTACTAGCATCTTGAAGATTATACTTCTTAACTTTGTATTTCATGTCTTTTGTATATGTCGGCTTGAGAAGCCTTTTGATCAAGATGTAACATGCACTTTGTTTTATTTGTATTCAAGTTGTAACCATGTTAAAATGTATGCCATTTCATTTGATCTATGCACAGTTCTTATGGACTAATCAGATTTAAATTTATTGCTTCTGCACATGTAAGCCCCATATGTATACTCTGATTGTGTGTGAATCCTTGTAAGTTGGCCCTTGGTAATCTTGGATTACCGGCTGTCAGGACACCATTCTACTATAGGCGGAATGGGGTTGTGACATTCCAACTATTTCCTTTATAATTCAGAATCGTCCTATATAAAGAGACTTAATCCTAATAACTGGTAAAGTAACTTCTACTTTTTTGCTTGCAGGAGCGACAGAATTCATCCCAATTGAAGGATGAACAAAAGCGTCGTGAGCGTGAAATGATCAATGAGATCCTTAGTGTTAAGGAAATACTTCGTGATGCCAAACAATGTCCATCTTGTAAGATGGCAATCTCACGAATTGAAGGTTGCAACAAGATGGTATGCAATAACTGTGGACAGTATTTCTGCTATCGCTGTAATCAGGCAATCGATGGATATGATCACTTCAGGTTTGTGATTCACCCTCATTGGAACATTATTTATAGTTTTAAAATTTAAATTAGAGATGTCTTCTAATATAAAGACACAAACTAAGGGACACATTTTTGGAGACATGTCCCTAATGAATGGATACCTAGAGTCCTATATTACAAGATCACTCTTAACATTTTAACACAATATGCATAGGATACGTTTATACATTTTTCTCATACAATTTACTGCTATTATTTTTCTATATTTTCTGGGTATTTCAATACAAACTCGATGCCCCTGTTTGTCACTGCTTGTACTACGGATGGCCATTTTAGTCCTATCCGCGAGGGCCTAGTCATACCCATCCGAATGGGACAGATTTTACCCGAACTGAAACTTATTGAGGGGGGGATTATTTTTTGGTCACCCGCAACGGGGGTGAGGTGGGGTCGGATACTACCTCCCCAATCCAAACCCAACCTGATATAATTAGATATAAGAAAGGAATACTAAAGTCTCTGATTCTATTTAAATGTAAATAAATAATAATCCTAAAAGTCTCACTCTATATATATATATGGAAACAAGAGAAATTATTTAGTGTGTTACGGATTTAAATGATTCTCAATTTTTTTAGTTATTTGAAATGTGGTCGGGTATTCGCGGGGGCGGGGATGGAGTTGAAAAATTCCACTCGTAGCAGGGTGGGGTGGGGGGATGACAAACCCGCCCCAAACCCGTCCCGTAGCCATCCCTTGTTCATACACGTGTCAGGCACTCTGTGAGATTTCGGGTTGTATCTTGAAGTCGTAATTTGTTCAGTAAAACCTACACAAAGGTAGGTGAATATGGCTTTAGGACAGCGACTTGTGGTGCCTCTCATCAATCTCACAGGCTATGTTCTCTCTATATTATTATTATTATTATTTACTGTTTTACTGTTTTTTGATTTCTGATTTCATGATTTCTCTTCTTGATATATTTTTGTGGAAGTAGATTTTATATTTAAGTGTTTTTCATGCATAATTCCCAACAACCCTCTCATATTTTAGATCAGCTATTCTTGCTCATATGGTATCTACATAACTCAGCATTTATCAATTTATTGCAACCTAATTAGCCTATTCTCACTTAAGGGAAGGGGTGTGCGAACTTTTCCCACAAGAAGCAGTTCAGAATTGGGAGGAGCGGATGAATGCTCGCCAAGTGGTGGGTCAGATTCAAGCTCAACTCTTTGCAGATCGTGGCCATTCATGCCCTATTTGTGGTCAAATCAATGTAAAGGTGAGCGGATTTAAACTGATCTAAAAAGTATGAACACAGACACAAACACAAATGCAGAATTTTATTTGCAATGTAGATTAATATTAGATTTCCAAATCAAAATTAACAAAAACTAACATTAAAATTCAATATATATAATTTAACTCTTTAGCATTTATGTTTTATTTATGGATGGCCTATTAATTAATTTAAGCAAAAAGTAATAAACTTCTAACATCTAACATCCATCAAAAGCACTAAAGAAGATGGGAGAAGAAACAAGTCGGCGTATCCCCAACGTGTCCCTTGAAAACAAATTAATTAAATAACGTGTTCTTGCCATGTCCCCATGTTCGACACCGTTGCAACACCTGTTTTGGAGTGTCGGTGTTTCATAGGAGCTGACTAACCTATCCAATTATGATGGGATTTATTTAGTTATAATTAGCTTCACTTTTTTTAGACCATGCATAATTCAGCATGATTTTAATGTTGGTGTTGGTAACCACAATGCTGCTTGGTATTAACTGAAAAGTACCAACATGAATAACATTAATGCATCAAAATTCAATATTTAAAAATAATGAAAATATCTGGATAATTAAACACATTTTAAATGTGGACCATGGAGACGAACACAATTCTTTATTTCTCTTCCTTCTTATGAACAAAATAATTATTTTTTATTTATCAAAAATAAAATAAAATATTGAGAAATTAAAATAAGATAATTATTCTTTATTTTATTTTTAATCAAAAAGCTGCATTCTCTCTTTATCCTGAAATTGACTAATTGGGATCTCTCCCAGATTGCGGAACTAGTGGAGTAGAATTACCGACTTCAACATGACTTTTGAAGGAACATGAATTTGAATTGGTACACCTTTTGCACATATGATATATCCTAGACATGTATCCATGACACGTAATATAGGATGACCACATGTAGGCCAACGATGTATCTAAATGACTCTCGCAGTCTCAATGCTCTCTTTTCAAGTTAAGCCCCGTAGTTAATTAAATATGTTTTTTAGTGTTGCCAGAAAATGACTAAAGAGCTTTTCGCTGCCCCCCTTATGTAACAGGTTGGCAATAACAATCACATCTTCTGCTGGGCATGCCAAAACCATTACTGCTACTTGTGTCGAGAAATGGTGAGGCGCGGCTCTCACCATTTCGGAACCAAGGGTTGCAAGCAGCACACAGTCGGATAGTTTCACATTACCCACCCAAGGTTACTTGTCTAAAAAGGCATAAACCAAAACACGTGATTGTAACCATGGAAGATCGCTTGGCAACAGTCAATGGCTGGAGCAGATGCAGCCTAGTCCCACAGAGATCATGTATGACTTGAACTCCCCTTATTGCAGTATTATTAGTATTGTAAGATGACGAATGACACCATCCTGGCTCAGTGTGTACTACATCCTATTTATATGTTCCAGGCGATTGCACTATATCCTATTTATATGTTCCAGGCGATTGCACATTTTGCATTCTGAGTGTCGTTGAGTATATTTTTTTGCCTTTAATTTTTATCGGGAAGATGTAGTATTCATTGTTGAGTTGAGTTGGATCGTGTTTGGAAGTCGAAAGGAATACAAGAACAAACCATATTTGACTTGAATTGTGTCATTTGGAGAATCAAATTGATTTGAGCTAAGGTGGCTTTGTATGTAAATTATTATTATTATTATTATTATTATTATTATTTTAAAATGTCTCTTATATGATCATTTTTGTGTTAATGTTTATTTTCACAGGGCCAAACAACTCTTCATGAACTCAGATGTTGTTCACAGCTTCATGGTTTAATGTGATATGTTTTTGTTGGGAGTATATGTTTTCAGAAAAGCACGTGTAAATTCTTGGGTAGGTTAAATAATGGTTATGAATGTGATGAACTATAAAAATAAAACTGTTAATCTCACACTTTTATCTTCTTTAAAGTATCCCTTATATAAATTTTTTTATCATTCGAATCCGGGCATCACCCTTCACAATAATTTCAATATGACCATCTAATACACCAGTTCAACAATACATCAATCGGTATTCAAAATTTTGTATTAAAATTTTATTAGCATAACATTGTTATTTTAATAAGAATTTTGTTAACGGATGTTCTTAGAGCATATATTAAGAAAAAAAAAAAAATTTAAATTGTATGTCATATATGAAAAGTGTGTAATAAAATACATAATATTTTTAAGTCATCATAATATATGCATTAAATACACACGTTAACCAGATTTTTTTATTAAACATATTGTAGACACTCTATTTTTGACCGACCTTAAGACTCAGACGTCATCGATTGAGCGCTCGGTGATAGTACATGTTGTGCTCATTTCGAGTTTCCGGAGTTTTGGCTAAGAGTCTTGCCTCCAGGCCTCTGAACTCTTTGTGCTTTGGCTCGGTTTGCTGATCAAACCTTGTTTCTTTTCCCTGGAGGGAGGGAGAGATCTAATAGACCATCCTTTCGTGATCGTAGACCACTTTTCACAGTCGTAGACCACTTTTCTCATTTGGAGACCAGTTTTCGATTTTTGGAGCCTTTGGCTGCGCGCCTTAACTCGGGACCGCTTAACGTTCTCTGTTTGGCGTGGTTTTTGAACCACATCTTGTTGCCTCTGCCTAGAGGGACGCTGTGGTCTGGGAAACCACTTTTGTGGTCGTAAACCACTTTTGGTGCTCGTAGACTAGTTTTTGAGATTTTCGGCTATGCGCTTTGTCTCCCGAACTTTCGTCTTGCATCCTTTTTGGTTTGTTTTTGGTACAAACCTTGTTTTCCTTATTTGGAAGGTGGTACAAGGTTGGGAGACCAGTTCTTCCCCTTGGAGACCACTTTTCTTCTCGCCAGCCAATTTTCTAGTCTGCCAACTGGTCTCCTCGGTCTTTGGGCCATCTTTTCTGGTCGGCCACCACACCACTGCATTGTTTTCATGCTTTAGACCTCTCCTACCCATGGCCGACCACGTTTTGTCTTGGGAGACCACTTGTGGTGGTCGGCCGACCACTTCAAGTAGCTGGCCGACCACTTCAAGTGGTCAGCTGCTTTTTGTAACCTTTTTGAAGATATTTTCATCCAGCTGGCACAGCTGGAACCCACCAGAACCATCCTCCATACACGTGTATGGAGGGATGGCCTTGGACCCCAAGCTTGTCCAACAAGCTTGAGCATTGGTTCTCTATAAAGGAGAACCTTCTCCTCCCTCCTCTAGGTTTAGATTTTTGTATTGAAGTTATACATATCATCTATATCTATACATCTCCATTCCTCTTCATATTTGTGTTCAAAAGTGCATATTCTTCATACTCTAACACACAAACACACACTCAGACACCATACTCTTGGAGCTGAGGTCCCTTGAAGTTGTTTTTGAAGTTTTTGGACTGGTTTTGGTTCAAAAAGTGTGCTGGAGTTGCAGCCTTGAAGGTGTTCATCAAGGGTGAGTTTCTAGCCCTTTAACCCCTTGTTTTGCTTAAGCTTTTAGACCCATTTGCATGCTGATTTAAGCTTAACTCTTAACTGTAAAAAGTTCTATTTTCCAGCCCTTAACATGTTTGTTTAATGTCACTTTTGTGTTGGGGGTGGTCTACCCCCTCTTAGGCCTTGTTAGGCCTTGTTTTGAGCCATCCCTTTTGGCTCTTGTTCTAGCCTTTGCATTTTGGGGTCCTAAATAAGAGAGGGTCATCCCCTCTCCTTGTGTCTTGAATAGTTGCTTCATATGCCTCATGTTTGAGCATGTTTATTAAGCTTGTGTTGGCTTGTTCTTAGCATGTATTTGGGGTTATTTTGAGATGACATGCCACTGTTTTTGGTTGCCTTGATCACCTCATGCATGCTTAATACACTTGTAATGTAAATTTCATAAACTAGTCTTGTATGCTTCATGAAGTAGCATGTCTTTCTAGCGTATGTTGACTTCATTTTAGTAGGTTTTTGGTGTTGTTTTAACATGTCATGACTCTGTTTTGGGTGGGTTTGATGTCCCCTTGCATGCTCCATGCACTTGTAGTACAATTCCATGAAGTAGCCTCATATGTACCATGCTTTAGACTACCATTCTAGCATGTTTTTGGCTTAACTCTAAGAAGCTTTTGTCCATATTTTAGCATGCTCTAGCTTTGATTTGTGTTGTTTTGGTCATGCATGCCATGCTTTGTATAGCTATAGCGCATTCTAGCTTGTTAGCTTTGTGTACCAAGTCCACTAGCATGCATTGCTTGACCTATTTCCATGATTTGGCATCATTTGAAATGTGATTTCAGTCCATGTAGTGTGGCCATATACTTGCATTTGTCACTTATTCAATGCGTTGGAGGGTTGGTCTTTTATGCCTTTAACATGAATCATTGCGTATGCGTTCATGCCTAAGCTTGCAAGCTATCATTTCAATGTGTTTTTGGGGTTATTTTGTCATGATATAACTCTGATTTTTATTGGTTAAGTCATCTCATGCTTGGTCTTAATAGGTGTAGTGTAATCCACCTTATTTGTCTTGCATGATCCATGCTTTATGCCCTTCATGCTAGCTTGTTTTCGCTTCCTTCCATACATGTTTTAGACTCATTTTGACATGTTCTATGACTGTTTTAGGTTGCTTTGGCCATATGCATCATGTTTTGCATAGTTGTAGTACAAATGCATATGCTAGCTTTGAGCTTTGAGTACCATAGCATGCTTCATTTGTGTTGTGTACATGATTTGGCATCATTTCATATGTCATTTTAGAGCATATAGACTTGACATGTTCCCACTTCTTTCACCCTTTGAGTGCCTTTGAGGGTTGTGCATTGTTGTCTTGTTTATGGCCTAGTGTCTGTGCTTGCATGCCTAGGTCTTTGAGCCCTCGGCTCAGCATGTTTTGGTCTTTGTTTAGACCTACTTGAGCTCTGTCCATGTTTGGTTCAATCATTTGTGCCATGTATTGCATGCCCCTTGTGTAATCCCTTTAATGGCTTTGTGCCTTAGACCCTCTTGCATGCTTTACTTGTGTTGTTTGAATGATTTGGCATCATTTCACACTTGATTTCAAAACCTTTAGTGTTGTCACACTTTCATGTTTATCGCTTCTCCATCATGCTTGAGAGTTGTGTTCTTAGGCCTTGTTGATAGGCCATTGCATTGTGCATGCTTACCTTGCTCTTCATGCCTTCATTTTAGCATTATGGCCACTGATTTGGGCATGCCTGAGGTCTATCCATTTTGGTTTAAGTCCATCGAGCATTGTATATGCCATGTTACATTACGTTGAAGTATGACATGTTGCCTTGCATTGTGAACGCCATGTTGTTATTTGCATTGTGTATGCTATTTTATTGCTTTGCATTAAGTGTGCATGCCATTGGCATTGAGTATGCTATGTTACATTGCATTGCATGTTTGCATGCTTGTCCCTTGCATATTGTTCACATTCTCGTTTCATTGTATTGCATGTTTGTATGCTTGATGTTGCATTGCATATTTGCATGCTTGGGTTGCATTACATATTTGCATGCTTGTTGTTACATCTTGTTTGGAATAGGTGTTAGTCCAAACACGAGAAACGAGGGGCGTTTCATACTTAAAGTGATGAAATGTGCCTTAATTCCCGGTCGCTGACGCTCTTAATCATATACGATAGAGTTCTAGGCTTTAGGTGTTTATGTGTGCATTCATTTCATATTGAATTGTGCAGTTTGGCTTCTCGGCCATCATGCATCGAGATGCGTGATTGGTGGCCCGAGGGTCAAGAACCACACTCCCTTGAGCTCATGAAATGATAGGGAGGGCGGTTGTGCACACATATCTTGCAAATATATTGTCATGCCCTTTCTTACTCTCTGTTGCAGCAAATTGGAGAAATACAGCAAAAACTGGCCGGCCAGCTAGAAAAACCAGCTGGCCGATCACTTTTTCTGGTCTGTAGTAACAAAAAGTGGTCGGCCAGTGGCTGGAAGCACTCCTAGGTGGTCGGCCATCCTCTCACAGGTCCCCAAGGTGAGTTAGAAGCTTTTTGGAGCTTGGTGCAAGGTTCTGAGAACAATTGCAAACAGAGGCAAGTTGGGGCATCGCGACGGATTTTCGAATGAGGCGACCGGGCATACATACACTCTTCTCCCTCTGAAGCTCCTGATTTATCACTTTACGTAGGTAATTTGCTTAGCTAGTTTATGCTTTGGTCTTATACTTAATTAGCTAATGTGCTTAGCTATTCAATTTATGATGTAATAATTAGTTATAGCTAGTTATTCAATTTTGTGATGTAATAATTAGTTTAATTAGCTTAGATTAGCTAGTTAGCTTCTTATTCGGACCCTCCGTCGAGAAGGCCAACTGTTGTAATAAGCGTGTGTGTGTGTGATGCATGTCTTTCAACCCCCATTTCTTTCTCCCTTTTACTTAACCGCTTATGATGGTTAGTTTTAAGGCATATTTCGATTAACATACCTTATGTTTGCATGCGTCCATCCATCCATCTGTTTGCATGCACCGGGCTCGACGCATCATACTAACTGCATTTTGTTTCAATTCCTATTTGAATACATGTACCAAGTTGCATTTCATATGCCATCTTAGAATAGTCGAGCCTATTTTAATTACATTCTCGCATGTGTTGCATTAGCCATCTTAACATGAACTAGAATCATGCATGATTTCTAACTAGTTCTCTATTTTAGCTTGGAGTACACTGT